TTTGGTGAACTGTCAAAGATGTGCTGGTTTCAGCTTCTACACAGTGTATGACCTCAGACTGGGGGAAATACCCAGCACAGACAAAACGAATCTCTTCAACAAATGAATCTCTTAACGAAAATCATTATTTGTGATGCTGTTTCTGACCTTGGCCTCGTGTCTCCCCCTGCAGGGCTACGACCACAGCTACTACTTCATCTGCTCCTTCATGAACGACCACATCAAGCACCACGCCAAGTACCTCAATGCCTGAACCGTCAGTCCGGTTCACTTTGACCCTACCCTCCTGACAACAGTCACAACCTTTTCTTTTGTTCTGACCTCCTGCAGAGTTCGGTGTGGAGTCTAAACAGGACTTGGCTCAAGTCTCAAACCAAAACTAAACCTGTTCTGTCAAATCATTTTCAGTCGTCATGATTAGAGCCACAAATACCAGAGGAAACGTTCCTGTGACCCAACAACGATGATGTGGATTTTGTTGAATTGTTCTTTGGTTGGCGCAGAGAGCTGAGACTTTTCAGAATAAAAGCCTTACTAATTCATTCTGGTGTTTTATCCTCCTTGAGTTACACTGAAAATGGCAACTGTGGCTGCTTGGACCAGCTGCTGAGAAAATACTAGCAGCAGCAGACTGATCTACTAGACATTGTCACTGTAACAACGCTCTACTTTAGGTCCACAGTGATCAATTAAAACACACACAATGTAGCTGTAAGAGGCAGGACTCCCAAAAATCATGTTCGCAATGACAAAAAATCCACTATAAACTCAACCCACTTCATGTAACATGGATCTGGTAGTGAATTTTAATAATGTCCTGGACCACAAAACAAACATCAAGGGGCCTCTTGACATACAGAGTATTTAGGATTCAAACACATCATTACAGTTCATATATACACTGATCAGCCATAACATTATGACCACCTGCCTAATACTGTTTACATAGGAGTCAATGTGGCAGGTGGTCCCTCCTGTCACTCTGCAGCTCACTGTGCATCTTCTGTGAATCCATCTGCTTCCACAGTTCTACTGTCAGGAAGAGCACAGATGTGTCTACAATTCAGTGAAAACCTTATGTAAAAGGAGTGAAAACTGTGGCTGTGAGGACACGTTAGAATGTTTTAGACAAATCCAACAGCCTCCCCACTCTAGGTGTGATATCACCACTACCCTGACTCTTTCTCGTTATAGTGACCAGTGTACAGTGTTTCTCATTTTCAACCATTTTAACAAAGATTCAAATAAATTTTAATCTTTTGTAAAGTACAAATGGAAGTTAAAAGTTTAATCTACAGTAGGTCAACCTTATCATCAGTGAGCCGTCCATGACCCTGTCTCCAGTTTACCATGTGTCCTTCCTTAGACACTGCTGGTAGGTACTAACCACTGCAGACCAACAACACCCACCAAGACCTGTAGACTGCTCTGACCCAGTCATCTCACCATCACAGTGTGGCCCTTGTCAGAGTCACTCACATCCTTACACTGCCTGTTTTTCCTGCTTCCAACACATTAACTTTGAGGACTGAATGTTCACTTGCTGCCTAATATAACCCCCACACTGACAGGTGCCACTGTAACAGATAGTCAGTGTTCTTCACCTCACCTCTCAGTGGTCATAATGTTATGGCTGATTGGTGTATAAAGATGTCTTTTGAAAAAAAAAGACTTTTTTTTCTCTTGGCTCTTGTTCATTATTAACAACAGCAAAAGACTATAAAAACAAAACTGCAGCACCAAAGAGAGA